GGTCGGGTTTTCCTTAAAGGGCCACCACCATGTGGAAGGCGGAATGTTTCCCATTGGGTGTGGCGGACACTTCAAGAGCCGGCACAGCTCGGGACTCAATACCACCAGCATTGTCAGAGGGGATCCTGAAGAGTCAGAACCTGGAGGGTTTGGATCCCCAGAGGTCATGGTCATCCTTAATGGGTGGGGTAGAGTCAGAACCTGGGGGTCCGGATCCCCGGAGGTCATGGTCATCCTTGATGGGTGGGGCAGGCCCTCTTTATGGGTGGGGCAGAGTCAAAACCTGGAGGGTCCAGATCTCCAGAGGTCATGGTCATCCTTAATGGGTGGGGCAGAGTCAGAACCTGGAGGGTCCGGATCCCAGAGGTCGTGGTCATCCTTAATGGGTGGGGCAGAGTCAGAACCTGGAGGGTCCGGATCCCAGAGGTCATGGTCATCCTTATTGGGTGGGGCAGAGTCAGAACCTGGAGGGTCCGGATCCCCAGAGGTCATGGTCATCCTTAATGGGTGGGGCAGATTCAGAACCTGGAGGGTCCAGATCCCCGGTGGTCATGGTCATCCTTAATGGGTGGGGCAGAGTCAGAACCTGGAGGGTCCGGATCCCCAGAGGTCATGGTCATCCTTAATGGGTGGGGCAGAATCAGAACCTGGAGGGTCCGGATCCCCAGAGGTCGTGGTCATCCTTAATGGGTGGGGCAGAGTCAGAACCTGGAGGGTCCGGATCCCCAGTGGTCGTGGTCATCCTTAAGGGGTGGGGCAGAGTCAGAACCTGGAGGGTCCGGATCCCCAGAGGTCATGGTCATCCTTATTGGGTGGGGCAGAGTCAGAACCTGGAGGGTCCAGATCCCCAGAGGTCATGGTCATCCTTAATGGGTGGGGCAGATTCAGAACCTGGAGGGTCCAGATCCCCGGTGGTCATGGTCATCCTTAATGGGTGGGGCAGAGTCAGAACCTGGAGGGTCCGGATCCCCAGAGGTCATGGTCATCCTTAATGGGTGGGGCAGAGTCAGAACCTGGAGGGTCCGGATCCCATGGTCATCCTGGACTTCAGGTTCAGGAGTCCTGACTCCACCGGCAATAGTCTGGAAGTCAAGGAGGGCGGCCATTTTTCTCAGTAGAGCCCTCCTTTAAAATCTGTAACAACATGGCGGACATTAATGGGGGCGGAGCTCAGACGATCCTTCGCAGGGCGATAACTTCCCCCTTTAATCTAAACCCAGGCCCTCCTCTGAAAATGTTTCTAGAAGGATCTCAGGATGAGGATGACACCCGCGGGCGGGGGGGGGGGGGGCGGGGCCAGGTGCAACAAATTGTCTCTTATTGGATACTAAAGTCTCTGATGCGCCCCCGGGGGTGCGGCTTAAAGGGGCACTCCGCTCCGCCAGACCTTTATACCAGAGAGCACTTGCTGCTTCCCTTCTTGCTGGGGTTCTTTAAATCCACCGGGTCCTTCATGCCGTGACCCTGCGGGACAGAGAGGGGGAGGGGTCAGCGGCGGGACTCAGAGGAGGGGTCATGTGACCGGCGCCCAATCATCACTTACCGCCCTCCGCGTCATGTTCATCAGGATGTCTGTGGCCAGCGTGTTGAAGGCCTGATGGAGAGAAAATGCAGAAACCGGTCAGCGGCGGCATTACTGGGCACGCCCCTCCGGGAGAGACCGCCCTTCCCCCGCAGGACACGGCGACTCGCGGGGAAATCGCCGCTTCTCTTACCTCGTCCACGTTCTGGCTGGACTTGGCGCTGGTCTCAAAGAGGCGGATCCCGTGTTCCTTGGCGAGCTGGAGGACAGAAGAAAAAAAATGACACAGCAGTCACCCCTCCCCCAACCGAAAGTCTGATGTCAGATTTCAGCTGGTGTGCCCCCCCATGAACCATCTTCCCCTCCCCCAACCGAAAGTCCGATGTCAGATTTCAGCTGGTGTGCCCCCACATGAACCATCTTCCCCTCCCCCAACCGAAAGTCCGATGTCAGATTTCAGCGAGTGCAAACCCCCTCCCATGAACCATCTTCCCCTCCCCCAACCGAAAGTCCGATGTCAGATTTCAGCGAGTGCAAACCCCCTCCCATGAACCATCTTCCCCTCCCCCAACCGAAAGTCTGATGTCAGATTTCAGCCGGTGCACAAGCCCCCCCATGAACCATCTTCCCCCCTCCCCCAACCAAAAGTCTGATATCAGATTTGAGCCAGTCTGCACCCCCCCATGAAACATCTTCTCCTCCCCCAACCGAAAGACTGATGTCAGATTTCAACCGGTGCACACCCACCCCCCCCCCATGAACCATCTTCCCCTCCCCCCAACCGAAAGACTGATATCAGATTTCAGCCAGAGTCTGCACCCCCCCCATGAAACATCTTCTCCTCCCCCAACCGAAAGTCTGATGTCAGATTTCACCCCCCCCCCCCCCCCCCCCATGAAACATCTTCTCCTCCCCCAACCAAAAGTCTGATGTCAGATTATTTTAGCCGGTGTGCACCCCCCCCCCCCCCAGCTTCCCCATCCCCCCCCAACCAAAGTCTGATTTCAGCTGGTGTGCACCCCCCCATTGAACCATCTTCCCCTCCCCCAACCAAAGTCTGATTTCAGCTGGTGTGCACCCCCCCCCCCTTCCCCCATTGAACCATCTTCCCCCCCTCCCCCAACCAAAGTCTGATGTCAGATTTCAGCCAGTGTGCACCCCCCCCTCCATGAACCATCTTCCCCTCCCCCAACCAAAGTCTGATGTCAGATTTCAGCCGGTGTGCACCCCCCTCCCCCTGGGCGGGTTACCTTTTCTCCGCGCTCCTTCTGCACCTTCCTCCGGCTCTCCATGTCGCACTTGTTGCCCAGCAACATCCTCTCCACCCCCGCGCGGCGTTCTGCCAGAGACAAAAACCCACATCGTCCAATCACAGCTCGTCACGTGACCCAAAGGAACCGCCCACCTGGAGGAAGCTCCACCCACAACCGAACAGCCTCATGACCTACAGGCAGGGCTGAAGGCTAAAGTCAGGCTGGCGGAGAGGAGGGGCTAAGCTGCTGAGTATTTGGCATCACGGTTGTCACGGCTACGACAACCCCCCCCCCCCCCCCCCCATATATCGATCTTACCTCTTTTATGCTCTTCATCCAGTTCTGAATATTCTCGAACGATCGTTCATCTGTGATGTCATAGACCGATCAGGATGATCCCCTGAAGAGAGAGAGATAGAGATACAAAGTAACATTGTTTATAAAACATCGATCAGACGGGAGATAGAGATACAAAGTAACATTGTTTATAAACATCATCGATCAGACGGATCAGAGATAGAGAGATACAAAGTAACATTGTTTATAAACATCGATCAGACGGGGGATGGAGAGATACAAAGTAACATTGTTTATAAACATCGATCAGACGGGAGATAGAGATACAAAGTAACATTGTTTATAAACATCGATCAGACGGGGGATGGAGAGATACAAAGTAACATTGTTTATAAACATCGATCAGGACGGGAGATAGAGAGATACAAAGTAACATCGTTTATAAAACATCGATCAGACGGGAGATGGAGAGATACAAAGTAACATTGTTTATAAACATCGATCAGACGGGAGATGGAGAGATACAAAGTAACATTGTTTATAAACATCGATCATTGTTTATAGACATCGATCAGACGGGAGATGGAGAGATACAAAGTAACATTGTTTATAAACATCGATCAGACGGGAGATAGAGAGATACAAAGTAACATTGTTTATATAAACATCGATCAGACGGGAGATAGAGAGATACAAAGTAACATTGTTTATAAACATCGATCAGACGGGAGATGGAGATACAAAGTAACATTGTTTATAAACATCGATCAGACGGGAGAGAGATACAAAGTAGTAACATTGTTTATAAAACATCGATCAGACGGGAGATGGAGAGATACAAAGTAACATCGTTTATAAACATCGATCAGACGGGAGATGGAGATACAAAGTAACATTGTTTATAAACATCGATCAGACGGGAGATAGAGAGATACAAAGTAACATTAACATTGTTTATAAACATCGATCAGACGGGGATGGAGATACAAAGTAACATTGTTTATAAAACATCGATCAGACGGGAGATGGAGATACAAAGTAACATTGTTTATAAACATCGATCAGACGGGATGAGAGATACAAAGTAACATTGTTTATAAACATCGATCAGACGGGAGATAGAGAGATACAAAGTAACATCGTTTATAAACATCGATCAGACAGGAGATGGAGAGATACAAAGTAACATTGTTTATAAACATCGATCAGACAGGAGATAGAGAGATACAAAGTAACATCGTTTATAAACATCGATCAGACAGGAGATGGAGAGATACAAAGTAACATTGTTTATAAACATCGATCAGACGGGAGATGGAGATACAAAGTAACATTGTTTATAAACATCGATCAGACGGGGGATGGAGATACAAAGTAACATTGTTTATAAACATCGATCAGACGGGAGATAGAGATACAAAGTAGCATTGTTTATAAACATCGATCAGACGGGGGATGGAGAGATACAAAGTAACATTGTTTATAAACATCGATCAGACGGGAGATAGAGAGACACAAAGTAACATTGTTTATAAACATTGATCAGATGGGGGATGGAGATACAAAGTAACATTGTTTATAAACATCGATCAGACGGGGGATGGAGAGATACAAAGTAACATTGTTTATAAACATCGATCAGACGGGAGATAGAGATACAAAGTAACATTGTTTATAAACATCGCTCAGACATCCTGGTATTTATTATCTTGTTAATGAAACGTTATTGGTGAAGGTACAATTTCTGGGTTCCATAGGGGTGTTTGTGGGGGGCGGTAATGTGTGGCGCTCGATGTGAGCGGTACTCACCATGGCGCCCGGTAATACGCCGTAGTGATGGTTTTGAACCTCTCCTGGCCGGCCGTGTCCCTGGAGGAGGAAAGGATCGAGCAAATATTAAAATGCCTTCGTAGTGTACCCAGCCCCCCGCCCTCAGCCCTGGCGCACGCAGTGGGAGGAGTTATGCAAATATCAAAGATGCCTTCATAGGTGGGTGTGTCAGACTGGAGAAGAGGGCGGTCCTAAGCAGGCTACATTCGCATAGGTAACGCCCACATGTGATGCTGAACTGATGACAGGGGTGGGATCAGGGACAGTCAGGCTAGATGATGCTGGGCGTCCTCCAGCCAGGAAATGGGGCAGAGCTCTCTCTGATTGGCTGTAGCTTCTAATGCACATTGTGAGGAGCTTGCAGTGTGCAGTGACATCAGAGGAAGCCAATTTAGTCCAGGGGAGGAGTCGGGACACCTGTGCAAGACTGAGGGGGAGGAGCCGGGACACCTGTGCAAGATCAGAGAGGAGGAGCCGGCACACCTGTGCAAGACTGTGCGAGGGGGGAGGAGCCGCGGGCACCTAAGGGGAGGAGCCGGGACACCTGTACAAGACTGAAGGGGAGGAGCCGGGACACCTGTACAAGACTGAAGGGGAGGAGCCGGGACACCTGTACAAGACTGAAGGGGAGGAGTCGGGACACCTGTACAAGACTGAAGGGGGGAGGAGTCGGGACACCTGTACAAGACTGAGGGGAGGAGCCGGGACACCTGTGCAAGATCGAGGGGAGGAGCCGCTGCACCTGTGCAAGATCGAGGGGAGGAGCCGGGGCACCTGTGCGACACTGGAGGGGAGGAGCCGGGGCACCTGTGCGAGACTGAAGGGGAGGAGCCGGGGCACCTGTGCGAGACTGAAGGGGAGGAGCCGGGGCACCTGTGCGAGACTGAAGGGGAGGAGCCGGGGCACCTGTGCGAGACTGAAGGGGAGGGCAGCCGGGGCACCTGTGCGAGACTGAAGGGGAGGAGCCGGGGCACCTGTGCGAGACTGAAGGGGAGGAGCCGGGGCACCTGTGCGAGACTGAAGGGGAGGAGCCGGGGCACCTGTGCGAGACTGAAGGGGAGGAGCCGGGGCACCTGTGCGAGACTGAAGGGGAGGAGCCGGGGCACCTGTGCGAGACTGAAGGGGAGGAGCCGGGGCACCTGTGCGAGACTGAAGGGGAGGAGCCGGGGCACCTGTGCGAGACTGAAGGGGAGGAGCCGGGGCACCTGTGCGAGACTGAAGGGGAGGAGCCGGGGCACCTGTGCGAGACTGAAGGGGAGGAGCCGGGGCACCTGTGCGAGACTGAAGGGGAGGAGCCGGGGCACCTGTGCGAGACTGAAGGGGAGGAGCCGGGGCACCTGTGCGAGACTGAAGGGGAGGAGCCGGGGCACCTGTGCGAGACTGAAGGGGAGGAGCGAAGCAGACATGATGACAGGAGGACATTTCCTGTAATTATTATTTGTTCTGCACTCCTCTCCAGCTGCTGTATTTAGCTCAAACAAATGCCCCGCCCCCTCCCGTCCCCCCCAGGGTAATCTCAGTTATTATTCACCTTCCATTTTTGAACCCGGCCTCCACTGGAGGGGAATTCCACAACACAGATCACACCCAAACACTGACAAGTCCTTTGTAAAGTCTGTTCTAGGGTGACAACGCTCCTCCCCCGTCTCCTCATTGTGCGCCAGCGTTGTCACCCTCCCAATGGTGACCAGGAGCGGCCTTTCCACCACACAGATGGAGTCACCATCAGGAAACCCGCCCTGAGAATTGCCAGGCTGCCGCCGGAGTACAGAGGCTGCAAAGAGGCTGCAGGAGATCAGCGGCACCGAAAAGGTGAAAAAAAAAAAAAAATAGAAGGATTTTATGCACCGGGGGCGGTCCTGTCACTGCGATTGGAGGATTTTGGGTGACAACCTAGCTGGCTCCGCCCCTTGTCACCCAGCCCAGTAGAAGGAGATAAAAAAAAGTGAAAAAAAAAGTGAAAAAATTGAAAACAAAAATCGATGGGAACGAGCGATCCTCTGAGAGGTGATAAGGGGTCGGCTGTACCGGGTCCGGGGATCAATCCCTACCTTAGTATGCAGAATTTACTGCCCCTCCTACCCTCTTCTTTTTTTTTGGGGGGGGGATCCTCTATCCAGGTCATATGATATTAAAGGGGGGGGGGGGAGACTGATAGGAATGGATCACCGTCCAACAACTCATAAATGCTGCATCTGGCATTAATAATCTCGATGCCAATGCAGGCCTCCTTCAGGGTGAGTGACGACATGAAAATCTGAATCCAATGGGGGTGGGGGGATGGGATAAATTGGGAGGAATCCTTAAATCATGAAAGCGTTCTCTCACCAAACCTGCAGCTTGATCTTCTTCCCCTGGATCTCCGTGGTCCGGATCTTAAAGTCGATCCCTGCAGAGAAATAAAAGCACCAATCGGAAATGATGTACTAAAATTAAAAAAAAAAAAAAAAAAAAAAAAAAGTATTGTAATATTTGTGGGTTTTTACTTATTTTTTTTTTTTTATTTACTTGTTTGTTTTTTACAGGAAAAAAAAGTAAATAAAAAAATAAGTAGAACCCCGCTAATATTATAATAATTGTTTCTGTACAAAATAAACAACAAAATGCATAACAGTGTTTTGTTGTTTATTTATTTATTTTTTTTTACAGGGAAAAAAAAAAGAAAATAAAAATTAAAAATAAGTAAAAATCCACAAATATTATAATACTTGTTTCTGTAAAAAAAAAATTAAACAACAAAATGCATAACAAAGTGTTTTGTTTATTTATTTATTTTTTTTTACAGGAAAAAAAAAAAAAAAAAAACACTTTGTTATGCATTTTGTTGTTTATTTTGTACAGAAACAAGTATTATATTTGTGGGTTTTTACTTATTTTTAATTTTTTTTTTTCTTTTTTTTTTTTTATGTAAAAATAAATAAATAAATAAACAACAAAACACTGTTATGCATTTTGTTGTTTATTTTGTACAGAAACAAGTATTAAAAAATTAAAAATAAGTAAAAACCCACAAATATTATAATACTTGTTTCTGTACAAAAAAAAACAACAAAATGCATAACAAAGTGTTTTTTTGTTTATTTATTTATTTTTTTTTTTTTACAGGAAAAAAAAAAACCAAAACACTTTGTTATGCATTTTGTTGTTTATTTTGTACAGAAACAAGTATTATAATATTTGTGGGTTTTTACTTATTTTTAATTTTTATTTTCTTTTTTGTTGTTGTTTATTTTGTACAGAAACAATTATTATAATATTAGCGGGGTTTTACTTATTTTTTTTATTTACTTTTTTTTTCCTGTAAAAAACAAACAAGTAAATAAAAAATATGTTTATTTTTTATAGGAAAAAAAAAAGTAAATAAAAATTATAAATAAATAAGTAAAAACCCACAAATATTATAATACTTGTTTCTGTAAAAAAAAAAAAAACAAAACAAAAAATGCATAAAAGTGTTTTGTTGTTTATTTATTTATTTATTTTTACAGGAAAAAAAAAAAAAAAAACACTTTGTTATGCATTTTGTTGTTTATTTTGTACAGAAACAAGTATTATAATATTTGTGGGTTTTTACTTATTTTTAATTTTTATTTACTTTTTTTTTCCTGTAAAAAAATAAATAAACAACAAAACACCGTTATGCATTTTGTTGTTTATTTTGTACAGAAACAAGTATTATAATATTAGCGGGGTTCTACTTATCTTTATTTACTTTTTTTTTCCTGTAAAAAACAAACAAGTAAATAAAAAATATGTTTATTTTTTATAGGAAAAAAAAAAAAAAGTAAATAAAAATTATAAATAAATAAGTAAAAACCACAAATATTATAATACTTGTTTCTGTAAAAAAAATAAAACAACAAAATGCATAAAAAGTGTTTTGTTGTTTATTTATTTATTTATTTTTACAGGAAAAAAAAAAACCAAAACACTTTGTTATGCATTTTGTTGTTTATTTTGTACAGAAACAAGTATTATAATATTTGTGGGGTTTTACTTATTTTTAATTTTTATTTACTTTTTTTTTTTCCTGTAAAAAAAATAAATAAACAACAAAACACTGTTATGCATTTTGTTGTTTATTTTGTACAGAAACAATTATTATAATATTAGCGGGGTTCTACTTATTTTTTTTATTTACTTTTTTTTCCTGTAAAAAACAAACAAACAAGTAAATAAAAAATATGTTTATTTTTTATAGGAAAAAAAAAAAAGGTAAATAAAAATTATAAATAAATAAGTAAAAACCCATAGATATTATAATACTTGTTTCTGTAAAAAAAAAATAAACAACAAAATGCATAACAAAGTGTTTTGTTGTTTATTTTTATTTAATTTTTTTTTTTTACAGGAAAAAAAAAAACCCAAAACACTTTGTTATGCATTTTGTTGTTTATTTTGTACAGAAACAAGTATTATAATATTTGTGGGTTTTTACTTATTTTTAATTTTTATTTATTTTTTTTTTCTTTTTTTTTTTTTGTTTTTATTTTGTACAGAAACAATTATTATAATATTTGTGGGGTTCTACTTATTTTTTTTATTTACTTTTTTTTCCTGTAAAAAAACAAACAAGTAAATAAAAAAATATGTTTATTTTTTATAGGAAAAAAAAAAAGTAAATAAAAATTATAAATAAATAAGTAAAAACCCACAAATATTATAATACTTGTTTCTGTAAAAAAAAATTAAACAACAAAATGCATTAACAAAGTGTTTTGTTTTAAACATTTATTTATTTATTTATTTTTACAGGGAAAAAAAAACCCAAAACACTTTGTTATGCATTTTGTTGTTTATTTTGTACAGAAACAAGTATTATAATATTTGTGGGGGGTTTTACTTATTTTTAATTTTTATTTACTTTTTTTTTTCCTGTAAAAAAATAAATAAACAACAAAACACTGTTATGCATTTTGTTGTTTATTTTGTACAGAAACAATTATTATAATATTAGCGGGGTTCTACTTATTTTTTTTATTTACTTTTTTTTCCTGTAAAAAACAAACAAACAAGTAAATAAAAAATATGTTTATTTTTTATAGGAAAAAAAAAAAAGTAAATAAAAAAAATAAATAAATAAGTAAAAACCCACAAATATTATAAAACTTGTTTCTGTAAAAAAAAAAATTAAACAACAAAATGCATAACAAAGTGTTTTGTTGTTTATTTATTTTTTACAGGAAAAAAAAAAAACCCAAAACACTTTGTTATGCATTTTGTTGTTTATTTTGTACAGAAACAAGTATTATAATATTTGTGGGGTTTTACTTATTTTTTTTTATTTACTTTTTTTTCCTGTAAAAAAAAAAAGTAAATAAAAAATGTTTATTTTTTATAAGAAAAAAAAAAAGTAAATAAAAAATTATAAATAAATAAGTAAAAAACCCACAAATGTTATAATACTTACAGGAAATAAAAAGTAAATTGAAAAAAAAAAAAAAAAACATCCCCGAGGAGCCATGTAAGGACCGTTTCCCCGCATAAACCACTTTTATTTCGCCTCCCCCGCTGACTCAGACGCATTCTGACAAAATTTTGCCAAAATTCTTGTGCTGTGATGACGGTCACTTTGGCTCATCCCTGGCGTGGGGGGGGGGGGGGCTGAAAGGCGGGTCTGCAGGCAGGAAGGAAGAGCTCTGATTGGAGGTGTGAAGTGATGAGAGGGAGCTCTTGTTCCTGCCATTGTTGTGCGATGACATCATCCCGCGTCCTGGCGGTGACATCTTCCTAATGACTTTTTTTAATTTTTTGCTGCAAAAGATTTACAACTTTCATCAGATTTTTTTAATTTTTATTGTCTATGTCCTCATTAGGAAGATTTTTTTTTTTTTTAAGTGAAAAAAAAAAAAAAAAAAAAAAAAAAAAAAAAAATCGCCAAAAACTTGGTGCATTGCAGGTTCATGATTTTTTTTTCA